GCTCTCTCTTTTAGGAGCTTCACAGTTAAAAAAAGAAGAGTCACCCGCTGTAACGGTCCAGCTCCTCCCTCTCTGTCCTGTAGGACAGAGGAGAACTGCCCCACAGGATTTTCTTTCTTTCTTTTAAAAAAAACATTTTATTGGGGGCTCGTACAACTCTTATCACAGTCCACACATTCATCCATTGTGCCAAGCACATGTGTACATCTGTTGCCATCATCATTTTCAAAACGTTGTCTTTCTACTTGGGCCCTTGGTATCAGCCCCTCATTTTTCTCCTCCCTCGCCCACCCTCCCTCCTTCCCCGACCCTTGATAATTTACAAATTATTATTATTGTTTCATGCCTTATACCAACCGACGGCTCCCTTCACCCACTTTTCTGTGGTCCACTCCCCAGGGAGGGGGTTATATGTAGATCTTTGTCATCAGTTCCCCCTTTCTCCCCCACCTTTCCCTTACCCTCCTAGTAGTGCTACTCTCATTATTGGTCCTGAGGAATTTATCTGTCCTGGATTCCCTGTTTTTCCAGCTCTTATCTGTACCAGTGTACATCCTCTGGTCTAGCCGGATTTGTAAGGTAAAATTGGGATCGTGATAGTGGGGTGGGGGGAGAGGAGGCATTAAAGAACTAGAGGAAAGTTGAAGGTCCCATTGTTTTCTCCTCCAGGTTGTTTATCCCACCTCTTATGTAAATAGACCTACAGAGATAATAATATGCACACACACACACACACACACACACACACACACAAAGCCAGACAGAGCAAAACAAAGCAACAAAAGAAAACAACAGCAACAACAACAACAAAACAAACTAAAAGAAAAGCCTGTAAATAGTTCAAGGTCTGTTTGCTGACCTTGAGGAGTGTTTTCCGGTGGAGTCTGATGGGGTGCCACGCCCTGGCCCCAAAGTCTATTTTTGGTATTCCCTGGGGACTTCATTGCTCTGCTCCCCTTGCTGTTCTGTTGCATGCCCTTAGTGTTTTGCCTTGGTGTGGTGGGATCAGATTGGGTGCAATTCCTGCACTGTGTCTCCAGTGTTGTCCCTTGTAGGGCTGTGGGTCAGTGAGGGACGTCGTGTCTTGTAGTGTCCCACAGGATTTTCAGTGCCATAGCCTTCCCCAACAAAGCAACCAGTGTGTTTGAACCATCAACCTTCAGTCAGCCGCAGCACACATAGCTGTTGCCAGGTGAGGGTAGAAGGTGATATCCTAAGCACCTTGGACAGCTCCAGACGCTGTCACCTGGCTGACCTGTTTGCTTTGTTTGCTCGGGGTTGAAGTGGATGATCTGGCTCTGGCAGGCAGGAGCTGCCAGCTGCTAGAGACCTTGGTTGGCCAGGCTGCTCTCCGGTCCTCTGGGAGTGGACCCGAGTCCTCCTCCTCTATTCAAGCGATCCCTTTCAGAAATCTACAACTTTAGGGATGTTTCTTCAAAACTTGCAGATTATGACTCAGGACCAGAAAATGCAAATTTGGGGCTTAGTTCTGCAATAGCCACCTGTAAGAGCTTTATATCAGATAATCTCCTTGAGCCTCCGTTTCCTAAATTGTGGTAAAAGGGGGGTTACCCAATTGGTTGCAAGAGGGTCCAATGAAATAGGTTTTGTCATGGGATTGAGTTGTGTCCTCCCTCTGCCCCCTGCGCCAATATGTGTTGGATTACACACACACACACACACACACACACACACACACACACACACACACACACACACACGGAGACAGGGAACTGGTGGTCAAACGCCTTTAGAGTCTGCGCAGGAGTGGCGGAGTAGCTTTAGAGTTTATTCTCACCTGGAAGGCTGTCCTGCCCTCAGCCATGCATCCAACACATGCGCAGTGAGCACCAACTGTTAGCCAGACACTGTTATAGGCTCTGGGACTAGAATAGCAAAAAAAACCATGAACAACCTCCCCTTTTCGGAGCCAATTTTTAGTGGTGGTGATCGGGAGAGAGTGAGACTCACTGGAAGCTCAAGAATAAATTAGTTATGTGGTAATGCCTCAATTATCAGGCGGACCCCTGGTGGTGCCGTGATTATCCACTGGGCTTCGATCTGCAAGGTCTGCAGTTTGCAACCATCAGCTGGTCCAAGGGAGAAAGATGAGGCTTTTGACTCCCGTGGAGAATGACAGTCTTGGAAACTCACAGGGGCAGTTCTACCCTGGCCTGCAGGGTTGCTGTGAGTCAGGTTTGGGGTGTGGTTTAATTATCCCGGGGCTGTAACAAAAATACCATTAGCCAGTGGCTTTGAAACAGGAGTTTATTGCCTCACAGTTTGGAGGTCAGAGGTCGAAGTGAGGGCAACGGCTCTTGAGGTAGGTCCCTCCTGTCAGCAGCCCTGGCATTTGTGGGATTCCGTGGTCTGCAGCTGGTTCCTCACGTGTTCTTCCGTGTTCTGGTCTTTTTATAGCATACAGAAGGGACTAAGTTTAGGACCCAGCCCACTCGGGTATGAGCTTATTAGCATAATAAAACAAGCCCCCGTTTCCAAACAGGGTCTTATTTACAAGTGCAAGTGTCAGGGCTTCAACATCACTTTGTGGGGAGCGGGGAAACAATTCAATTGGGAATGTTGTTTGTCACTATGGTGACGATTGCTATGGAAAGACAGCCAGGTGAGGCACAGGGGAAGGCAACTGTTTCATATAGGATGTCCCAGAACCTGGATGGTGGAGCAAGGCCCAGGTGAGACTCTGGGAGATGGCATTGCAGGTAGAGGTACGAGCCCCCGGGGAGTTGCCTGCCAAGCAAGCCCCTTCTCGTGAAGCAGAAAACCAATTTTAGCCCGTTTTACGGACAAGGCTCTGGGGGAAAGGAGCCCTGACGGTGGGTGGCTCAGCGCTCAGCTGCTCCAGGGGAACAACAGTGGTCGTCTGTTCCCAGCACAGCCTGTCATTTCGTCTCTGTCCTGTGGGAGGCCCGTGAATTGGAATTGGCTCAATGGCAGGGAGTGGGTGTGGGAGTCAGGGGAGGTGGGGCAGGGCAGGGGGAGCTCAGCTCCTCAAAGGCCCTGTTGTGGTGTTGGTGGCTGTGTACCTCCTAGTCTATTCCAACTCATGGGGACGCGATAGGCCAGAGTAGAGTCATCCTATCATGGCCCTATAGGGTTTCTAACGCTGTGATCTTTCCAAGAATACATCACCTGGTTTCTCCTTTCCCGGAGCCACCTGTGGGTTTGAACCATCAAACTTTCTTTAGCAGCCTTAACTACTCTGCCACCAGGGCTCCCTCAGTTACGTGTAGGGAAATCTAATGGTGTCAGCACAGTTCTTTATCTACAATGTCTTCTCCCCAAAGCTCACACGGTCAGGGGTGGCTGCTTGCTGGGGCTAGGTGGCTCTCCACCTTCCTCATGCCGCGACCTTTTCATACAGTTCCTCATGTGGTGGTGACTCATTATTTTCCTTGCTACTTCATCACTGTAAGTTTGCTACTATTATGAATTGGGCGACCCCTGTGAAAGGGTCGTTTGACCCCCCAATGGGGTCTCGACCCACAGGTTGAGAACTGCTGGGCTAGATGATCTGAGGTCCCAGTCAGAGTAGAATTCAGCCTGGTCTGCAGAGCAGTCAGGGGCTGCAGGCTTGTCCCCTGGGGGACACGCTACTGTTCAGGCTCTCCAGTGCAGGCTCCCAACAGGCTCAGGGTGCTGGATCTCAGTAGAGCAGGATTGGTGGGCAGGGCAGAAAGGTGGGGTGGGGCTGGGGGTTTGGGCAAACATTGATGGCATCTCCACAGGGCCCGTCCCTTCCCTGTGCCAGGCAGTTTACATATGTCACCTCACCAGTCCCCACTTAACTCTGCAGGGCAGGTGCTACCGTCACCACTTTAGAGAGGAGGAATGTTAAGGCTCAAAGGCACGATTTTTCTGCTTGAAAAAATATTTAGTCTTTGTACAATTTGCAAATAGTTAAAAACAGGAAGTGTCTCCTAATTCCTCTCACTGCTCAGAGAAAGCCTGGTGGCCCAGTGGGTTAAGCAACATCAGCAGTTCGAATCCCCCAGCAGCTCTTCAGGAGAAAGAGGAGGCTTCCTGCTCTCGGAAAGCTTTACAGCGATGGGGCCGTTCTACTCTGCCCTGTAGGATCATGATGAGGTGGAATCCATTCAATGACAGTGTGTTTGGGAGCCCAGAGAAGGCCTTTATAAACCTTTCAGGTTCATTGATACACATACATACTTAAAACAAAATATGAAGTTGGTATCAGATTACACGCACTGTTCTGGTCCCCGGCCTTTCCCGCCCTGAACACTGTGCCTTGGTTTTCCAGCCGTGTAATTAGTTATTATCACCAGAGGACGCTCTGGCAGAATTTGGGACTCCCCAATAACAGGCCTGGCTGTGTGACTTCACCCGTTTCCCGCTTGGATAACGGGGAGGGCTGGAGGAGTCCTGGGCGTATAATGCCAATAAGCTGGGATCCTTCACCCCCTTCCACATTGTGTCTGGGAGGCTCTACTTGCTCAGTAATCAGTTGACTTTGTGAGGGTCTGGGGCGTGGCCTCGGTAGGGGCGTGGCTGGGGCTGGAACTGAGGCTGCAGTGGGTCAGGGCGGGGACTTGGGCGTGGCCCAGATGGAGGGGTTGGTGGGAGCTGAAGGCGGTGCCAAGGTCAGGCCACCAGAAAGAGGCTGGGACGGGGCGGGGCCGAGAATGGGGGCGGGCCAGAGGTGGGCCGGGCGGCACCCGGGCGGGGCCTGGGTACGTGCGCGCTCATTGGCTGGTCGCGTCGGGACGCACTCGGCGCCCGCCCCGCCCCCGCGCGCCCGCCGGCGCGGCCCCTGGAGGCGTTGGCGCAGCGATGGCGGAGGCAGTGGAGCGCACGGACGAGCTGGTGCGCGAGTACCTGCTGTTCCGCGGCTTCACGCACACGCTGCGGCAGCTGGACGCCGAGATCAAGGCGGACAAGGAGAAGGGCTTCCGGGTGAGGGCCCGGCGGCCGCGGAGCGGACTGTCCCCAGCCAGCCTTGCGGGGAGGAAGCGGCGCTGTCACAGCCTAGGGGTGTCCCTTGGGCGCGCTCCGGGCTTTGGGGACCGAGGAGGGCCCGAGGCCCGAGAGGGGACTGCCCTGCAAGTCGGGAGCCAGTGGGTTTCCGGAACCGCGGCTGACACACCCGTGCGCCGCAGGGTGCCTGTGCCGACCGCTTAACCGCTCGGGCCCACTCTGGGCAAGGTGGCCGCTGCAGTCGCGCAGAGACGTCACTGCACAGTCAAGAAAGGAGACTTCCCTTGTCTTTGGGTTTCGGTTGAGCAGTTTGTGGAATTCAAGGGGGCGAAACTCCCGGATGGGCTGACTTCTGGGTTTGGCAGGTGACCAGAGGTAGTGAGTTAGCAGCGAGAGCCCCCGCGGGGTTAGGAGACCTGTCAATCAGCGGTTACTTGCCTCTGCGGACTGCCGTCAAATGGTGATCCCATGCACAACTGAACCGAGATGCTGCCGGACATGCTAGGCTTCCTGTGTGGAGCCTTCCCGCCGGTGGGCTCATCTTCCAGCGCCGTCGTGGACAGTTGTGATAGACCCATACGATTTTCTTCCATTGTCTGATGACCCCAAGTAGACGGTCAGGCCTTTCTTCCTACTGCCGTAGTAAGCACTGCTGAAATCTGCCCACCATGGGTGACCCTGCCGGGATTTGAAATGCCCGTGGCATAGTTTCCAGCGTCACTGTTGTGCACGCAGCCACCACAGAGTGACACACCCACAGACGAGTGGCTGCTCTCTCCTCCTGTCCCTCCCCCCACCCCCACACCCTTTGTTCCCCTTGCCATCGACTAGATCCCAACTCAAAGCAGCCCTATAGGACAGGGTAGGACAGCCCATAGAATTTTCGAGCCTGTCACCCGTACAGAAGTAGACTGTCACATCTTTTCTCCCGTGTGGCTGGTAGGTTTGAACTGACACCCTTCCAGTTAGCAGCCTAATGCTTAACCTCCGCACCATCAGAAACTGTTAGTGGCTCTGCTAACCCACTGCAGCTGAGCCAATTCTGACACATAGTGACCCTTCAGGACAGGGTAGGACTGCCCCTGTGCGTTTCTGAGAGCGTAAATCTTTACAGGAGCAGACAGTCTGACCTGTCTCCCTCCGAGTGGTTGGTGGATTTGAACTGCCGGCCTTGCAATTAACAGCCCGGTGCCTAACCCACAGTACCACCAGGGCTGCTTCTGTTGGTGGCCAAAGCAACCTGGATTCATAGTCAACATTGGGTTGATATTCAAAACCTTTCTGGGCTGGGCATGCTGGAGTCGTTTCTTTGCTGCTTGACCCTTTGGTGGCACTTTGGTGGCATGAAGGAACCAGGGCTTCTCATGGCAAGCTTGGCATCTTGGAGTTGTGTACGGCTGGAAGGAGGACCATAGAGAGGGTCTCGGTCCACCTTTATTTTTGATTTTCCTCCAAATGACCATCGAGTTGACGTGGCATCGCCCTGGTGGCTGAGCTACCGGATCGCTTGGTTCCTGGGCCGGAGCTCTTGCTTTTCACACCGAAAACCCCGTGTCTGACCCCAGCAGATCCCTCCACAGCCCTTACCCTAACTAACACCTTTTCAGTATTTTGTAGATGGCTACCTTTCTTCTTTTCCCAACATCGAGAAACCCCAGCCGGGGGACAAAAACTGGATTAACTCTATGGGGTGAAGGCAGATCGCTGCTGCCTCTCACCCCTTCTCGGTCCCGCCGGTCTCTCTCCAGGTGGACAAGATCGTGGACCAGCTGCAGCAGTTAATGCAGGTGTACGACCTGGCTGCCTTGCGGGATTACTGGAGCTACCTGGAGCGCCGGCTCTTCAGCCGCTTGGAGGACATCTACAGGCCCACCATCAACAAGCTGAAAACCAGCCTCTTCCGCTTTTACCTCGTCTACACGATCCAGGTGCTTGCTGGCCCAGGGTCCTGCTTCTGGTGGGGGTGTGGGGATCGGGAAACAGACTTGTTTTTAACCCGAGGGAGGGCTACGGGCATGCGTGCTACGGTTGGGGACTGCAGTCCTGGCACATTGTTTCCGACTCTGCCTTCGCCCCATCTGCAAGTCATCTGATTCTCCTTCCTCATTCCTGGTTCCCTCTGGTGTTAGCACGTCAGTCAGTGGGGGGGGAGGGGGGGCATTTCACAGACTCTAAGGAGCAACCCTGGTGGGCAGCAGGGTATGACTGGGGCTGCTGGTCACAAGGCCGGCTAAGTTTAACGCCACCAGCAGCTTTGCAAGAGGAAGACCAGGCTTTCTGCTCCTATAAAGAGTTGTACTCTGTCCTGTAGGGGAGCCGTGAGCCAGTCGACTCGATGGCAGGGGGTGTGAGTGTGTGAGTTTAGGTGATTTGGGGTCCTCTAGATGATAGCTGGCAGGGGAGACGAGTCACTTAGATTGTTGGAAAATAAATTGGTGTTGGGGGTTGTGTGTGTGGATGGGAGGGGTGGTTAATTTTCAGGATGGCACTTATCATGTAAGCATCTTTTGAAACTTCGAGGTCTTTGTGGAGGTGGGGGGGAACCACACTGTTTTCTCTTCGTCAGATGGCTGGCCACACCTGGCTGGCTGGTGTCCCTGCTTGTCTGGCATCGATTCCGAGCCTCACCACATCCCCCTCTGCCCCTCCCCTCCCTGTATCCTGGCAGACCAACAGGAGCGACAAGGCCCAGGAGTTCTTTGCCAAGCAGGCCTCTGAGCTCCAGAACCAGGCCGAGTGGAAGGATTGGTTTGCCCTGCCTTTCCTGCCCTCCCCGGACACCAACCCCACCTTCGCCACCTACTTCTCACGGCAGTGGGCTGACACCTTCATCGTGTCCCTGCACAACTTCCTGAGTGCCCTGCTGCAGTGCATGCATATCCTCAAGCCCCAGGGACCCCTGGCACGGCCGTGGGAGGGGCTGCACACAGGCAGGCACTGGAAGCGTCCTTCTGACTCTGCCACTGTACGGCCCTTGGGCCCCAGGGGGTGGGCTTGGTGAGAGGGGGGCTTTGAGGCCAGGCTCCAAAGGAGGAACTGTGAGCCAGACTCAGGGCCTAGATACAGGGGTCCTCCAACTACGGCCACATGCGGCCCCCGAGATTTATCCAGGCCACCAAGTGTTTTTGCCCTGTTTTGTTTTTTACTTCAAAATAAGATATGTGCAATGTGCATAGGAATTTGTTCATAATTTTTTTTTAAAGTATAGTCCGGCCCTCCAACGGGTCTGAGGGACAGTGAACTGGCCCCCTGTTTAAAAATTTTGAGGACCCTTGGAGAAGGCCCCTTGTTGTGGGCAAGGCTGGCCGGCTTGCTCAGGGCCCCAGGGAGCTCCTGACCTGGCGGGGCTGAGTAAGCCAACCAGATGCCTGCTGGGCAGTGCTTGTCACCCACGTCAGCCTGGCTGGTCTCTGTAAGATCAGGTGTCAGCATGTGGAGCCCCGGTGGCGGAGTGGGTGAAGTGTTTGGCTGCTAACTACAAGCTAGGCAGAGTGACCCCGTCAGCCGCCATGGAAGAAAGAGGTGGCTGGCTGCCCTATGAAGACATGGTCTCGGGAGCATCGTGGAGCAAGCCTGTGCTCCCCTGCGGGGCCACGAAGCGGCCTTCACGCAACAAATCTGGTTGTGGGGCTTCGTGAAGTTCAGGGGAAAATCTCACTGGTTTCCAATTCCACTTTTCTGTAACCTCGGTGGCAGAGTGGGCTGCATGTTGGCCCCCTGGCTCGAAGGTCAGAAATCGGAAGCCACCAGGTGCTTTGTGGAGAAAGGTGAGGTTTCCGCTCCCCGTTCGGCTCTGCCCTATCGGGTCACTGTGAGTTGGAATCCACTTGGTGGCATTGAGTTTGGTTTTTGAGGTGTGGGGTATATGTAGGGATAGAGTCTTGATGTAGCGTGATGGAATACATTGACACACTAGATGTATGTGCATGTATGCATGCCCCTGCACGCAAATGTATGCATGTGTAGATATGTGAAAATGTGTGTGTTGTGTGTGGTTTGTAAATAAGTACCGTTCACACACTTGCCCCTTTGTCTCTGGAGCCCAGACCCACCCAGGCTGCTCCCATGCTTGTCTCCAGACTGGGATCTGGGGCTGCCTCGCCCTGTGTGAAGCGGGGGTATTTTCTGCTGGAGGTGGCCAGTGTCAGACCTGAAGGGGGAGCTTAGCTCAGAGCGGTGTAGCATGACCATGTGGGGAATACAGGTAGTCTTCGAGATCTTTCTGGAATCTCCAGGGTCATGCTGCTCTTGAGGCAGTCCCTGGCCAGGCGGGTGTGGGGTTAAGAGAACTGACGGTGCAGCTGGACTGGGGGCTTAACCCTTCACCAGGGCAGGTTCCCTCTTGGCAAGGAAGGCTGCAAGGCTGGCGTTGTGCTAAGCCGGCTGGGCACCTGGCAGCAGCCCACAAGGCCTCCAGGCTGCTTTTCCAGGACTGACTTGGGTGGCCTGACCATGACGCCTTAAGGTGCCAGCCGCTCACCTCCTCCACCTAGACTGAGGTCTTCCCTGTGGGCTGGCCTGAGAGGAGGGGCAATGGGTCCTCAGCCCCAGCCCAGCCTTGTGACTGGCAGGCACTGTGCTTCTGGGACAGGGCTGTGGGGGGTTGGCGGGGTGGGGGGTGGGGGCGGTCTCTGAGCAAATGCAGGGAGCACCTCCTTAACCCGTGCACCCGTTCCTGTGATCCTGAGCTTCGATGCCGAGTGCCAGAGGACCAACCAGGTCCAGGAGGAGAATGAGCTGCTGCGGCAGAAGGTGGGCCTGGGGGGTTGGCAGGAAGGGGAGGGGAGGGGCCAGTTTGAGATGGTCACCAGAAAGCCAGCGTAAAGTCACTAGCATGAGCTTCCAGAAGAGGCTGACCCTGTGGACCTGCCTCCTCACCACTGACCTGCTCCCTCAGTCGGCCTCGCCCTCCCAGGCCTTGGCACACCCGCCCACGTCTGTATTTACAGTGGCTAATGCCTGCTGGCAACCCAAAGTTCGGGGGCTCAAAACCCACCAGCCGCTCCGAGGGAGAAAGGTGAGGCTGTCTGCTCCGTGAAGCTGGACAGCCACGGAGCACCTACGGAGGACTGGTCTGAGCAGGAGCAGACTGGATGGCAGCGGGACTGTTGTCAGAGCCCTGGGCATGATGCTTAAGTGCTTGGCTGCTGACAGTAATATCCAGGGTTTAAACCCCCCAGCTTCTCCGAGGGAGAAAGACTTGGGAGTCTGCTCCTAAAGACTGACAGCCTCGGAAACCCTGGGGAGCAGATCTGTCCTGTCCTGTCGGGTCACCGTGAGTCGGACTCAGTGGCAGCATGTTTTCACTTTGTTCCCAACCCAGAGGTGGTTTCCGTCTCGTTCAGCTGTGTCTCTAGTTCAGTCCTAAGACGGAGCCGGGGACCCTGCTTGCCTTTAAGGGTCCCTGAAGTGACAAGTTGCATTTTTCCAGGAAAAAGAAGATTATAAGCATTTAGGTTTGAGCGTGTTAAAATTCTTGAATTTGGGGTATATCTGTATGGATCATTTTTCTTCCTGGTAAAAGCTTAAAATTGCTATAATTGAAAAAATTTCAGAGTCCTTAAACCTGCTTCCAAAAAGTAGCATGAGGCCGGGTGGAGCTGTTTCCTCTGTGGCTTCAGGAGGAAGCCAGGCCTGCGATGAGAGGGCAGCCCTGTGGGCCGTGAGCCCCTGAGGGGCAGAGCCGCTGGGTCCCCTGGCCAGTGTGCAGGCAGGGAGAGGGTGTCTGGAGCCCGGGGCCTGGACATTGGATGTCCCCTTTGAGGGGAGAGGGCATCCTCTCACTGTCTTCGCCCTGCAGCTGTTTGCCCTGCAGGCGGAAGTCCACCGGCTGAAGAAAGAGGAGCAGCCTCCAGAGGAGGAGGTGGCCACTTTGGTCCAGCACAAGCTACCTCCCTACGTCTCCAACATGGACCGCCTGGGGGACTCGGAGCTGTGAGTGCCTGCCAGCAGGATGGGTTCCCTCTGATCCAGGTTCCCTCCTGCCCCTCCTGGCCAGTGAGAATGCCCCCCTGGCCTCCCGGACCCTGGACCTGTGCAGTGTTTGTTCCAGGGTCTCCTAAGTGAGGACCCTGGCCTGCATGGTCCCATGGGCCCTCCTCCCAACCCTCACCCTTGGCTGCACCCGGGGCAGCAAGCTCACAGCGCTGTGGGCAGGCCCTGCTGGTCTAGGTGGGAGGGCCCTGCAAGTCCAGATGTGTAGAACAGGTTGTGGGGTGAGAGTATGGGTCCAGGTGTCCAGGGCAGGGCCTGTGGATCCTGGGCCGCACCGTTGTCATGGGTCTAGGCCCTAGGGAGTGTTTGTCCGTTGAAAGGACCTCTTCCTGGAGGCAGTAGAAGCCTCCCTGTCAGATGGGAACACGGTGTACCTGAAAAGCAGCCATGAAAGCTGGGGCCCCAGGTGGTGGTGGTGCTGGTGATCGTCTCGACAGTGGTGGTGATTGTCTCGGCAGTGGTGGCTTGGAGCAGAATGGTCAACCTGTCTATAATCGGTTTGTAATTGGTGATTGGCCTGCAAACCCAGGCAGGCAGGTCCCCCCAAGCCCCGCGGCCTCATCTGAGCCTGTGCCGCCCCACATAAATGGAGCCCAGGTGGGATGGGAAGCTCTGAGCGGCCCCGTGAACCGCAGTCAGCAGCAGGTGTGAGCTGTCCTCTGGGTGCTACTGCAGAGGCGTCCCACCTTCCACAAGGGGCACATCACTGGGCCACCTGCAGTGCTCGGTGTCCCAGGGCTCTGAGGGTTGGCTGGGGAGCCGCCTTGGTGGTCAGGCGCCTTCAGCTGGGGCCCCTGTGACAGAGTATCCCCCTGACCAGAGCCATGGTGTGCAACCAGAGGACCACCGGCCTCTCCCAGTCACCGCGAGGGGGCTTCCTGTCTTCGCTGCTGCCTCACAGTAAGAAGAGCCCCTCGAGACTGTCACCGGCCCAGGGACCCCCGCAGGCCCAGAGCACCGCCAAGAGGGAGCCTGCAGGCAGCCAGGTAAGGGACGCTTGGCCTTGTGTGTGCTGAGCAGAGAGGTGGGGCTCGGATGCCGTGATCCAGGCCCACCGGTGCTCGTGGGAGAGGGGCCCCTGGTGATGTGGTGTGCACGGCAGCTGGTGGCACTGTGGGCTGGGCGTTGAAAGTCAGCAGTTCAAGTCGACCAGCTGTTTCGGGGAGAAGATGAGGCTGCCTGTTCCTGTAACGATGCGCAGTCTTGGAAATCCTAATGAGCAGTTCTGCTCTGCCCTGTAGGGCCGCTCTGAGTTGGAATCAACTCGATGGTGCCGGGCTTGGGGTGGGGTGGGCTGTGCTGCGCTCTCAGTCTGTGCTCAGACTGCATGCAAGCTCTCCTGGAATCGACTCTCTGGGACCGTCGCGGCGTGGCTGCCTGAAGATGAAACATCTGAAGGTCAAGCTTCGATACCTACTGGGTGTGCGGCGGGCTCGCCCTCCTGTGGCTGCTTGCTGGGCAGCCTCATCAGGCCCTCCGGCTCCTGTAGCCCTGGCCAGGCCTGGAGCTGAGCATTTTTCCAGGCAGAGCTGGCCACAGGCCTTTCTTCCAGAACTGCCTGCCCCAGTGAAAATTTAACTGATCCAGAGTTCCTGCCTGCGGCCGTCAATTTTGACCCACTTTTATTAGTTACAAATAAAGTCGCCGCCTCAGACTGTGCCCTCTGCCGTGACTGCCTTGAGTGAGGGCAGTCCTGTGTCAAGAAGCAGTTCTAGGTTGCTTCCGGGTGTGTGGGGGGCAGCGGTGTGGTCGAGGAGTCTGGGCGCAGCCTCCTTGGGCAGCTGAGTGTCAGCCTGATCCTGCTTATCACCTCCCCCAGATGGCTGCACTCGGCGCTTTGCTCCTCTGTGGAACCTTGATGCTAGCAGTGCGTCTGCTCCCTGCTGCCACCCACGAGCCCCAGCTCACGGCAACCCATGCATGCCAGACCGTGCTGGTCCCTGGGTTCCTATGGCCACAGACCGTGCTGGTCCCTGGGTTTCCGTGAGCTGATTTTCAGAGGCAGGTCACCAGGCCTTTCTTGCCAGCTGCCTTAGTCCGGAAGCTCCCCTGAAACCCAGTCGGTATCCCCACATTCATGATGAACATGGGCCTGAGGTGGTGCCCTGGCCAGAAATCACCTTCCTTTTGTCCACCTCGGGTAGCATCCTTAGAGGCTCCGATCGGACACCCCAGGAATAGGCTACAGCAGGGCCCCTCTCGTCCCGCTCCGCCCTGTCCTGGGGTGGCCAAGCAGGCGTGGCCATCTCTACTCCCAGAGTCCTGCGATCTTGATAGAAAGAGATCAACCAGCTCTTCTCCCACAGTGCCTCTGGGTGGTGCAAACGGCCAAGTTTCTGGTTTGTGGTGGAGCACCAACCGAGTGTGCCACAAGGCCCTCTGCTCCCTCGGGCCGGCTGGATGAGCCGCTGTGAGCAGAGCTCCGAGCCTGGCACACGGCACCTTCAGACACGGCTGTTGGTCTGTGAGGGACTTGTCCACGTGGGCACCTAGGCCCATTGCTAACCTGATAGGCCAGCTACACAAACTCCTTCAATCCAGGCATCCGCCAGGGCTGAACCCGCCCAAACCGGTGAGCACGGCTCTGCCTCTCACAAGGGTTCTTCCACCCCTGGAAGCTGGCCTTCCTGCCTGCCCTGTGGGCCCCCCAGCCTACCATCCTGGTGCTCCTCCTCTTGGGAAGATATTTACAAGGAGTCCTGGGGGTGTGGTAGGTTAAGCATTGGGCTGCTAACTGCATGGTTGATGGTTCAAACCCACTAGCTGTTCCTCAGGACAAAGATGAGGCTGTTTGCTCCTGTAAAGATTTATAGTCTCCAAAACCTTAAGGAGATGTCCTGCTTTCTGTCTTATGAAACAGAATAGATTAAAAAATATGATTGATGTGCCCTGGTTGCATAGTGGGCTAAGCATCAGGCTTGCTCAGTGAGCAGTGGGAGGTTTGGACCCACCGGCTCCTCCCAGGGGTTAGGAGGAGGCAGTTTGACCGTCTGGGGCAGATATCTACTCAGGCCTCTAAGGTCACGGTGAGTGGGAGCCGCCGACTGGACAGCAGGGGAGTTTGGCTCTTGTTCCTGCTAATGCCCACAGGGGAGTGTGGGATTCTCAGCCACTTAAGAGGTAGCCTCACCCCTGTGGTCTTGATGGTGTGGGGCCTTCACGTGATGCTGGTGTTTACTAAGCTGCTGCCTTGCTGGTGGCGCAGTGGATGATGAACTGCGCTGCTGACCGCAAGGTCCACAGTTCAAACCCACAGACTGGGCTGTCAGTCTCGGATACCCACCAGTGCCGTTCTGCCTGGGTCTCTGTGAGTTGGCTTCGACCTGACAGCAGCGAGTTTGAGCTTTTGGCTGATTCGCAGCTTCTGTGATACAAGTCATCTTGGCCCCCACCTCCAAGACAGAGCTCCCGCCGCCTCTTCCCCAGTAAAGATAAGCCCACCCAAAGGTGTCACCCGAAGCGAGACACTGTCTTTCATTGCAAAGTGGGACTGAGACGTGGCATTGCTGTTTCACCGAAGTCAGCGTTTTGCGTCTGTTATGTTGGCGGAACCTTGCGTTCCCAGCATTCTTAGGAACAGATGTTCACAGCGTTATTTTGAAAATGAGGACAGAGCGCGCTCTCAGCCTTCAGTTTGAATCAGGAGGTAAAGTGTTAGAAATGGCTTAGTGGGGGCGGGTGGTGGTTAGTGGGAGGTAGCTGAGGTAGCTGATGAACCACAGTTCCCAGCGCTCTTAACTCACACCTGCTCAGGCAGCACACCTGCCTCCCGGGAATTACCTTATTACAGAGATAACCAGTAATTGGCTGTGGGAAGAAGAAAGCCCAGTGCCCATGGACTGCCGAGTTGTCACTGTTATTAGTCTCAATTGTCTGCTCACTGGCGACGTTGGGTGAGAACAGCTGCCCCCAGGTGGTTCCTGGGTCTTACTGGGAGCTGTGACTCGCTCTCTGCTCTCCGCTGGCCTGTCTGTGGGGTGGCTGGTGGCCTGTGTCCCTGCCTGGTTGGTGGGAGATTGCTGTCTAGCCAGGGGGCTTTGAGCCCTACCTGATCGACTCAGGGCTCCCAGTGTCCTGGCTCCCAGTCAGAGCCTCTTCCAGAAAGCTCCATGCCAAGCTGCAGGTGGCAGGTTGGGACGGGCTGGGATCCCCAAGTGTTGGGCGTGGGGGTTCCTCAGTTGAGCCTCTTGCCGCTGGCTCCCATCAGTGGGTTTGTGGACTGGAGGCCTTCAGCTCTAAGGCTGCCAGTAGGACCGTGTGGAAGCCCCTCTCAGTCTTGCAGGGGGCCACGTGGAAGCCCCTCTGGAAGGGCTTTGGTTAACGGTACAGCCTCTGCAAGCCAGACACTGGCTAAGGTGGAGCCCGTCAGAGACAGAGGGCCCAGTGATTGTCCAGTGAGCCAGGAGCCGGAAGCCTGGTGAGACCACACCCTGTCAGATGCCACATGCCTGTCACCTCCAGGCATGCACAGGTGTTCCCGTGTCCTTCAGCTCCGGCCCGGGGCGCAGCTGCCTCCCTTCTCAGTGCCACCTGTGCCACGGGCCCACGCCCCTGGACTTCTGCTGAGTGGGCAAGGGACAGATCAGATGCTCTCCCGGCCTCAGTTTCCACTCGGGACAGTGCCGGCCTCAGTGGTAAGACAGCGTGTCCCTCCTGGGGGCTCCATGCCTGTCAGCAGAACTGTCCCTGGGGTTTTGTGTGTGTGTGTGTGTCTGTGTGGCGAGGGGCTTGGGGGGGTAGTTAGGCAGTATGTCACCAGGACTTTAATAGTACTTGTTGTTGTTAATAATAGGAGCGCGGTTCAAGAAGTTTGTGGAAAGTGGTATTACATGAACAGATTTTTTCCTTGACCGTTTTGAAGGCCTCTCGTGTGATGGCTGGTTTTCTTACTTGACTCTGTTCAATCGGGCCCCAAACCCTGCTTCTGCTGAAGGAGCCGGAGTTCTGAGAAGCAGGTGACGCTGGAGCAGGAGAGACAACGATCACCCGAGGTCACCTTTGCAGTTCGTCTCCAGTCATCCCTTTCCGGGTTCCTCGACTGTCCACATACATCATTAGGGGAAGAACCTTGGGTGTTGTCCAGTGCTCCCAGGTGTGACCATGTGGCCAGGCCTCAGCCCTTCCCGTGGCACCTCTGCCGTCCTTGAAAAGTCCCAGCATCCCCAGGATCTCGGGATCCCTGTGAACCGTCTTAGAGGCTTTGTTGTGGAAACAGAGACGGGAACCAGTGGAAGCACTCAGAGGGAGCACGCAGGCTTTGGCTGAGCCTTGTCTTGGGCCCTGGGGAGGCCCTCGCCCGGTCATTGCCCCCTCGAGCGGCTCCTTGTTCAGTCCCTTTGCTAAGAGTCACACAAGTGAGGGGTGGGTGGGGGTGGGGAATACAGGTGGGGGAAGAGGTGGCATTTGGTGGAGGGCGGCGACGTCTCTCCCCGGCCCCGTGGGGACTGAGCACACTCATAGTCCCTGTGAGCCCGGTTGACCTGCCACTCTGGTCACGAAAAGGCCCGTCTCTTTCCTGTCCAGTTGATCTTAACGAAAGGCCCTTGGGGTTCCAACCGTTTGTGGTTGATGTGTCTGCTGCCATGTGATTGCTTCCAGAGAAACTCAGTGCTTGCCCCCACAGCCACGAGCAGGATGGGTCCCCTGTGCACCTTCCCCTCCCTCGGTAGGGGTGGAGGGGCGGAGAGCTGGGTGTGGACGCACTGCCGAAGGCAGGGCTGCTTGCCTATGTTCGTGACACCAGTGCAGGCCCGCCCCACCTCCTCACCACAGTCAAGCTGGTCTCCCGGGGGCCCTGAGGACGGGCACAGCTGTCAGGGAAGGACGAAGGCATGGCTTTGCTTGTGGTTCTGTTCACCTGCTGGCAGAGCTCACTGCCCTCACATTATTGCCAACTCACAGGGACCATGTAGGACACGGTAGCACTGCCCCTGTGGGGTTCCCAGGCTGTAAATCTTCACAGGAGAATGTCCCATCTTTCTCCTATGGAGTGGCTGGTGGTTTTGAACTGCCGACCTTGCAGTTAGAAACCCAACATGTCACCACTATGCCACCATGGCTCCTTCCTGCTGCTGAGAGTCACACTGTAATCACCCTGTCCCCGCTTCTTGCCCTCCAGGCAGCCAAAGGGAAGGATCTGGTATCTGGGGCCAAAGACGGGAAGGGCCTCTTCAGCGGGCTGGGCGCTGGGGAGGCCAGCTGGCCACAGCCCCGGCAGCGGCGCCTGCAGGACCACAGCAAAGAGCGCAAGGAGCTGTTCTCGACCACCTCTGCCCAGGTAGGGCGGCCAGGGCCGAGGGTGGAGAGGTGGGCAGAGCTGGCACACCCCAGCCTGCTTCCTGGCCCAGCACCCTCAGCGTGGCTGGGTGCAAAGCATGGCTTTGCTCAGTTGGTTTTGGCTTGGGCTTGTATTCGGCCTGGCTCACCGGGGTCCCTTCCCCAAGGCAGCAGTATCCTGAGTGGGGGTCGCCCAGAACAGACCCTGCCTGGACACGCTCCCGCAAAGCCAGTTCTGAGAAATGGGGTTGGCAGCCACTGTACATGGCCAGTGCTCCGGGGTCAGCTTTCCTGCCACTCTCCTCCGAGTGGGGCTACTTGCTGGCTAGTGGACAGCCCCATGCAATTAGAGGTGGATGGCCTTAGGGGGCGCCTTCAAGTAGAGATTTGCCTGACTCACCCCGGGCAGACACCTCTGCTGGGGCAGGGGTGAGGGGCCATGCAGCTGAGCACCCCAAGACCCCCCAGGCAGGGTGTTGCAGCCTGGCCTCCCCCTGGGCCAACCTTGGCCAGCCAATCCCTGATGACCAGCCCCCTGGTGGTTAGCAGAGCGCAGAGAAGAAGCCAGATGCTGGTGGCACGGAGGTGGAGCCTAGCCCTGAGCCCCACCCAGAGCTGGCAGAGGCGCCCATGCGGGGCCCTGAGGGCAGCCGCTCTGAGCAGCCCTTCATCGTGCTGGGCCAGGAGGAGTACGGGGAGCATCATTCTTCCATCATGCACTGCAGGTGCGCAGGGGAGGGGACGGGAAGATGAGGGGCACACTTTCATCCTGCTCAGAGTGGGGAGTGTGCAGGATATGGGCAGGATGGGTCTGTCCCACGCCATCTGGCCACCTGCTGGTAATTGACTGGCGAGGCTTAGCCTCTGTCCTTCCCAGTCCTGCAGTGTGACCCGTTATTTCCCTGCTAACGCTCATGCCCTGTCATCCAATGGACTGCTCACCACAAGGTTTGTAGTTCAAACTCACCAGCCAGCCTGAAGGAGAAAGATGAGGCTGTCTGCTCCTGTAGAAGTTTACAGCCTCAGAAACCCTTTATAGGGCTGATATAAGTCAGAATGGATAAGATGTCAGTGTTTTTTTCCTCTGTTGGTACTTTTAGGTAATTCTTTATCACTGTGAGTTTCTGAGATTGTAACTCTTTATGGAGTAGAAAGTCTTGTCTTTCTCCCAAGGAGTGGCTGGCGGTTTCAAACTGCAGACCTTGTGGTTAACAGCCCAACGCTTAACCGCTACTCCACCAAGGCTCCATGGCCTCTTGAGAGCACACAGTAAGATTTTGAGAGGGTAGATGGGCTTCTCATGAAGAGCTGGGGGGCCGGGACCTGGGCCGCCACTCAGGGAGATAACCCAAACCACCGAGCCTGGTGCCTGCGCCCCATGTGCAGAGCAGAACTGCTCCGTAGGGCTTCCAACGCTGTGTCCCCAGTGATTCCTGGGAAATACAGAGGCTTTGAAATCTCCACAGTTCAAGAGGGCCACATGGGCTGCTCCTTTCACACATGCCTGTGAGAGAGAGAAAGACGGGGGACAGGGATGTTGACACCCTTTCTTCATCCTGTGTCCGTCTGAGTGCAGACCTTGGGGTGGGTTAGTGGGGGGTGGTGTGTGTATGTGTATGTATATGCTGACACCTTTTTCTCTCCCTCCCCCAGAGTGGACTGCTCGGGGAGGAGGGTGGCCAGCTTGGACGTGGATGGGGTCATCAAAGTTTGGTCCTTCAACCCCATCATGCAGACCAAAGCATCCTCCATCTCCAAGTCCCCGCTGCTCTCCCTGGAATGGGCCACCAAGCGGGACAGACTGGTGAGTGTGGCTAGGTGAGCTGTCCATTTGGAGAATTCTCTGGCCTCTCACCCAAACCGCTGGCACTGGGGGCAGCCAAGTGGGACCCCCTCCCTCACTGGGGGCCAGAAGACCCAGTGGGCTCCTGCTGTGGGGCTGCAGCATCCAAGGTTGGACCCAGGGCATCCTTAGATGGTGGAAGGCTCTGCTCTGACGTGTGGTTTGACTCCTCCACTGGCCTCGGGAGACTGGGTGACTGGCTCTTCCCCTCCTCAGTCCCCTCACCTGCCCCGATGTGGACAGCCTCAGCGTGCCCCCTCCACTGTGTGGTGCTCCCCCCAGGTAGTGATACAGTGTGTTGCTTGCTTCTGAGCCTTCGTGTACACCACAGGCTTAGACTTGGGAGGGAAAATGAATTTATAGCCGTTCTCTGCTTCCATTCTCATGTTCAGAGAGTTATTCTGAGTGGCCTGGGCAGCCCTGCTGGTCTGCCTCTGTGGACAGGGAAGACCGGACCTCTGGTACCCTGTGGCCATCAGCAGGGCCAAGGCAATGCCTGGTGGTCTTCCAGCTAACCTGCCTGGGGACCAGCTGCTTCCTCCTCACCTTGCAGACCACAGGTTCCTGAAGGCAAGGGGGTCTTGACAAGTGGTGGCCAGAGCTGTCCCCAGAAGGGCAGTGGGCAGTGTGCCAGGCCCTGCTCCCCAAGGACTCATCCCAGGGTGGGGGCACTGATAGCTCTGGAGCAAACAGCTGTGGTAGGAGCGCCTGGAGCATTTAAAGTGGACTCACTGTGGAAAGCCGGGGGTGGGGGGGTGGTGTGAAAGGAGGGGTACTGCATCACCCCTCGGGCTGTTTCCAGGTGGCCGAGGCTGCTGCTTCCCCGTGCTGCTTTCTGTCCCAGCTGCGTCTTCCTGTGCTTCATCCAGGCCTTACAGCCCCTCACAGTGGTCCACCCTAACCCCCCACCCTCTCCCTGCAGCTCCTCCTGGGCAGTGCGGTGGGCACTGTCCGCCTCTACGACACGGAAGCCAAGAAGAACCTGTGTGAGATCAACATCCACGAAGACATGCCCAGGTGAGTGTGCCCGCCCCCACCGCGCTGCATGCTGGGGTCATGGCGCTGGCCATCTGACCCCAGGCCTGTGCTGCCGCAGGATCCTGTCTCTCTCCTGCAGCCCCAACGGGGCCTCGTTCGTCTGCTCGGCTGCAGCCCCGAGCCCCGCCTCGCACCTGGACGTGCTGTCCCCCGACCTCGGCAGCAGGGGTGGGAACCAGGTCCCGGGCCGACTGCTGCTCTGGGACACCAAGACCATGAAGCAGCAGGTGGGACGCCGCACTGCTGCCCTCCATGCTCTGGGGGGGTGGGGGGGGCGCTGCTCTGAGATAAACTCCTGCCCTGGGCGCCTTCCATCTGATACTTCAGAAAGTGCTGGAAAATCACGCTACCTTTCTGTTCCATCTCATCCCCCTCGGAAGGGCCCTGGCCACCCCCTCTCCGCAGTGCTGTGCTCCCCAGGCCCACGGAGCTCCCTCGACTTTACCGTGCCCTGTACCGACCCTCTCTCCCCGCTCTGTCCTCTGCCCCTCCCTCTGTCCACAGTCCCCTGCGCCGACCTTCCCGGCTCTGCCCAGCATGCCATGGGCTGTCAATGAATAAACAGGATTTTAGCCTTAGGATTGCTCCATGCGACCTCACAGGGTCCCACCCTGGTGTCTGCCCCCACAGCCGATGTGAGCTGGGTGGGGTGAAAGGGCAGTTGGGGGCGCTGGAGACCCCCCACCTGTGGCTGTTTCCTGCGGGATGCACTGGGTGTGTCTGCTGTCTGAGGCACAGTTTTGCTGAGAAGTGAGGCCCACGGGGCAGTGCGGGCAGCAAAGCGCCCCCCGCCCCCGCCCCGTGGGACTGGCCTGGGAGGACGGTGGCATGCCTGTGTGGGCCGCTCACCACCCCGCCCGTTGCCAGCTTCAGTTCTCCCTGGACCCGGAGCCCATTGCCGTCAACTGTACAGCCTTCAATCACAACGGGAACCTGCTGGTCACTGGTGCAGCGGACGGAGTCATCCGGCTGTTTGGTAAGAAGGTGGCTTATGATAGCCCTGGCCCTGCTCCGATGGCCCCAGGAGGTGAGCATGCTTGTGACAGGGCAGCGCTGCTCAGCCTGCCTCTGCGACGCAGCAGGAGCCTTCGCCCTCCAGCCCTGCGCTGACGGGTCGGGCACCCCAAGGCTTTTGAGGTCCCGAGGACCCACGAGTGCCTGGTCAGAGCGGGGTCTGTGCCCCGGGACTTGGGCTGGAACACCCTTTGCCGTCGCTGTGCTGCTGAGAAATGACCCTCCAGGGCTGGGGGCTTGCATCCTGCCTGTGCCCTTCCCGCCTCCCCGGGGACTGTGTCCCTGGACTTGGAGCCCCGGGGGCCCTCCAGCCCCTAAACCCACTCTGACCCAGGGGTGCAGAAGCTGCCCCTGGGGCTCCATGAGACTGGCCCCAGTAGGGGTCCGCCCCCCTGCCAGAGTAGGCCCCTGGTGCACCTGGAGGCTCAGCGCGAGTGCGCTGCGGTGGGGGTGCGGTGCCGGTGACATGGGCGCCCCGCGCAGACATGCAGCAGCACGAGTGCGCAATGAGCTGGAAGGCCCACAGCGGGGAGGTGTGCTCCGTGGAGTTCAGCTACGACGAGAACACTGTGTACAGCATCGGCGAGGACGGCAAGGTGCGTGGGCCCGCAGCCAGCACGGACCGGCTGGGCTACAGCTCCGTCATCGTGCCAGCTGACCGGGTGGAGGCACAGTCAAGGGAGGAGGCCTGCTGGGGGCCTCTCGGGGAGGGGCGGGAGCAGGGAGCGAGGACGCGCATGGGTGCCCTGCTGCCTTGCCCACCTTGGGAGTGGTGACTGAGCCCCTCCTCTGAAACCTCGTCCACGGGGCCCAGTTAGAAGGGGCCACCCTCACTTAGAAGAAGGGGTTGCTCCTGGGTGGCCTGCCCGTGGATTCGGAGGACAGATCACGTGCTGCTCAGTAAAGGAGGCTGCATGGCTTGGGGACTCTCCTCCCTACCTCTTGCTGACCCAGGCCTAGCAGGGCTTAACCTTTGTGACAGTGATGGGCAGATGTGGTCCCAGGTGGTCTGGAGCACCCATTTCTTGCACTGTGAAGAGGTCAGGGTCAGGGTAGTGGGAGTGTAGTCCCTGGCTCACCGCCAGACCCCCCTGAGAATGCACCCTGTTGTGTCCGCGTGTGGCGCAGTTCATTCAGTGGGACATCCACAAGAGCGGCCTGAAGGTATCCGAGTCGAGCCTGCCCCCCGATGCCACAGGCCCCTTCGTGCTGTCCGGGTACAGCGGCTACAAGCAGGTGCAGACCCCCAGGGGCCGGCTCTTCGCCTTCGACTCCGAGGGCCACTACATGCTGACATGCTCTGCTACCGGGGGCGTCATCTACAAGGTACGAGGGGGCAGGGCTGTGGGCGGACCAGGCGGGGTAGGCCCCGTCCCCGCCCTGTCAGTTGTCCCTCCTGTCCCCCACGATGGCATCTGAGAAGGGACAAGGGGTGCCAGCAAGTGTGTTGGGGTTGGGGTGCGAGTTGGAGAAACCCTTGAAGCAGGTAAAGCCGGTATCTTTGAGAAGATGGCCTCCTTTCATCAGGAGCGCTGGTGGGAGGTGACTGAGCGCTCGGCTGCTAACTGAAAAGTCGGCGGGTCAAACCCAAAGCTCCCCACAGCCGCTCACGAGAGGATATGGCAGACTGCCCCTGGGCGGACGGCAGAGAGGGCCAGTGGGGGCAGCTCTTCCCTCTCTTGCCTGCTGGTGCCATTGGGGACTGCTCATGCGCGGGCCTGGGGCCTTTGGGGGAACATATTGCCCATGTTAGATTTCAGGGAGCCGCTGGTGAATTTGAACTGCTCACCTTTGGGGTACCAACTGCCTTGTGCTGCTGGCCTGTGCCAACGTTCTTTGTGCTGCATCGACAGAAAGACCACAGTGTGCAACTTAGACAGACAGACAGACAAATGTTTTCTCTCACAGTTCAACTACAGGGTGCCAGCTCTCTCTCTCTCTCTCTCTCTTGCTCACCATTGTGGGGGAAGGACCTGGTCTTTCAGCTTCTGGTTTCCATGGAGATAGGGAGATGGGTCTCTCTGCCCCTTGGCATCTCCCCGCAACCCCACCTGGTCTCCATCTCTGCTGCTTAATTTGCTTTCACAGTTTGTAAGCTATTGACTTGATGCACACCCCCACTCATCTTGCCTCTTGTAGCAACCGAGTCCCAAATGGGGTGGTGACCACAGGCATGGTTCCAACAGCTGAAGCACATGCTTACCCGGGAGGACACAATAAAATCCCTCACAGCATATGAGCACGCAGGCATTCGGCCTCCTGGACTCCTGGTTTGGCATCATGACTCCTTTACTGGACAAGGTGCAGGACAGCACCCACTGGACATGACGGCGCCTGGGTTTACAGGCAGATGTGCTGAAAGTTTAATTTCTTAAATCTCAACGCTGCTGCTGCTAGGTGCCATGGAGTCCGTGCTGACCCATAGCGACCCATGTACAACAGAACGGACACCGCCCGGCCCGCGCCCTCCTCTCTCGTTGTTGTGCTCAAGCCCTTTGCTGCAGCCGCTGTGCCAACCCATCTCCCTGAGGGCCTTCCTCCTCCTCCTCTGCCTCTGCCCCACCAGGCTGATGCCCTGCTCCAGACTGGTCGAAAGTACATGAGACGAAGTCTCACCAGCCTTGCTTCTAAGGAGCATTCTGCCTGTCCTTCAGGCCAGATTTGGGTCCGATTTCTTGGGGGATGTTATACTGGGGATCAGATCCCCCTTTACAGCCCGTGGACGGGTTTGTTTGCGATTTCAAACATCTCTTCCCTGTGAAGGGTCTGATGACTCTGTCAGCTTCCCTAGCCAGGCTGAGCACGTGTGACCGCCTCCTTCCTGTCCCCAGTGGGCCCTGTTTTCCCTCCTTTGCTGCCTTGGTCTGACTATTCCCAGTGCCTTCTCGGGGTCTCGGGCTGGCCACAGCAGGGGGGATGAGCCAAGACCCTGCCCTCCAGGGCGTGCCTGGACCAGACAGATGGACATGATAGGAGGGCAGGTTGGGGTGTGGGCAAGAGTCACTGGCCCACTGTGGACCAAGGCAGACGAGAGCCCTTAGGGGGCAGTTTTATTTGGGGGTTTCCCAGGAGCATGCTGCGCACGCAGATAGAGGACAAATGGCAGCCAGCCTGTCCGGAGGGACGGCTGGGAGCGCGTGGGTGTGAAAGCTAGGATTGCGGGGCGGCCTGGGGTGTGCCTGAGTGCTGTGTGCTGACTGCCCCTCTCTGCCTCCTCCTCACAGCTCAGCAGGGAGAAGGGCCTGGAGAGCTGCTTGAGCCTGGGTGGCCACCGCGCCCCCGTGGTGACCGTGGACTGGAGCACGGCCATGGACTGCGGGACCTGCCTCACGGCCTCCATGGATGGCAAGGTCAAGCTGACCACTCTGCTGGCCCACAAACTCTGAAGGGCTGCCGGCCAGCACCACGCGTGCACAAGCAGTGTGCCTCAGGTCACTGCTGGACGAGACGAGTGAGGCAGGCTGCTCATCGGAGGGTGGTACTGCTGTGGGGACAGGCTGCCCGTGGGGTGCGGGACAGACTGGTGGTCCCTGGGCTCTGTGGCCCTCCCCCACCCCCACCGTGGGGTGATTTCCTGCGAGAGCTCAGGAAGAAAGAAGAAGCCCTGCAGGGCCCGCCGGGGTCCTAAGAGCGCCCCTGTGTTGTGGGGAGTTGTTCCTTTTTCTTAAGAAAAGATGATGCCCTCGTGGACACTGGGTGTCTCTTGGTTGGGGGAGGCAGGTGGGGGTGTGTGTGTCCCTGAAGAGTGTCTCTTAAACTCTCAGCCTGGTGCCGGTCAGCAGTGAGCCCTACGAAGACCAGTGTCGTCCCCCCCTCCCCCAGCCTTTGTGGGGCAAGATGAGGACTCGCCTTGCCCTCGCTCCACCGGGATGTCCAGCTGTGCCAGTTTCCGAGGCCAGCCTGCTCTGCCTCTTCCCTGGGAGCTGGCAGCTTCTGTGCCAGCAGGGAGGGCCTGAGTCACTGATTCCTCTGCCTGGCGTCAGGAGGCAAAGGGAGGAGACGGGCTGTCCAGGAACCAGCACTGGGTTCAGGCCGGTCCCGCCCGTGCAGCTTGGCCCACAGCCTTGTCCCGGCCAGGCCAGGCTGCTGAGGTGAGGGGCCCGAGGGAACTGCCCTCTTTTCCTTATCAGTGCTGGGCTTGGCCCAGGGGTTGGGGCAGCCCTGTCATCACTTAAGAGCCGCTCCGGGTTCCCAAGCCTCAGCACTCAGCTGTGGGGGAAAAGCAGGTGGATGCTGGGGTCAGACCCTTGGTGGGGGGGGCGCAGAGAGAGAGAGAGAGAGAGAGTGTCCCTTTCCCTGCCCCATGCAACTCAGAAGTTATTTTGGGAAGGGAACAGAGTCTAGTCATTCCAGTGCATCCACAGGTGTGTGGCGAGGCCGCTCTGACTCCTGGTGACCGCAGGTGGGTGGAGACACACTTCAGGACAGTGACAGCCGGGAGGGGGTTGTGTTGCTGGGTGACCATGATCACAGTGATAAGGGGTCCCTTTCTTTCTGGACCCTGCCTCCCCAACCCTAGGACTGACTCCCTGTCTTGTTCTCATTCCCTGAGGGTCAGGGCAGATAGCCTGACGAGTGTCCCCAGGATCCCACCCAGCCAAAAGACCCAAACCCAGTGGCACCCAGGATGCAGACTTACAGCGACCCTCTGATAAACCTTCATGGGGGTAGGCAGCCTCCTCTTCCTCCCCAAGAGCAGCCAATGGGTTTGAAGCGCCTACATTGTGGTTAGCAGCCCATTGCTTCCCTAACATCGAGCTGGTGGAAGACCCAGCCCCCACACCTGCAGGCATTGCCCCTTCCTGTGGCCAGGTGCAGACCCTGGTCTGGTCCAGGCTGCCCTCCTCTAATTGCCTGCTTGCCCTTAAGTCCCCTCCAAGACCCCAGCCCCCTACCCACCCCCGCCCCCCCAAAGCATTCAAAATGCCCCAGAGTCTGTACTCAATCTGAATTACAAGCTTGGTTTCTCTCTCCCTGTGAATGGTCAGCCATGGTCCCAGACCCGGCTTCCCTTCACTTTCCCGTTGGAGGGAGAGAAGTTCAGGAGAGAGATCTGGATGGGGCTGGCGCCACAAATACAGAGTCCTGGACTTTGGGGCTGTGGGTTAGGCATTGGGCTACTAACTGCAAGGTTGGGGCTTTCCAGCCCACCAGGAGTAAAAGGAGGCCAAGTGCTTGCCCAAAGGGACCCTAGGGAATTTGCCTTTGCCCTGTCGCATAGGGTGGCTATGCAGTCTCATTAAGCAGACCAAGCGCAGCTGTTGGGTTGGGCTCTACAAATACTCGTCCCTGGCCCTTTATTCACATCATGACACAGAGGCTTGTCTGGGTCGTAGCATTCAAAACCGAGGATCTTAGCAGAGGTGCTGCAAACAGGGTCCTGCCTGTCCTCTAGACTGACCTACAAATGGGGCGCCCTTGTAACCTGAGCCCATAGATTTCTCTCCGGGCTGGTTTAAACTTCCTCCAACCCACCGCACGGGGACTACCGAGTCCGGGCCCCCTAAAGGGCCTGTGGCCGGCGCGGGGGTCTCCCCGTCGCCGAGGCTGGCAGCGCAGCCCCATTGCAAGTGGCCGGTTGACGCTTCGCCTCGGCCGACTGGCTGGCCAGCAGGAGGGCATGCGACCTGCACTCGTGCTCAGACACCATGTAGTTCCATCGTTCACCTTCGTCACCGCGTCTACGGCCACCGCGGCGGACCCGCGAGTCCCGGGCAGCCTCAGCCTGCCAGCCCACACGGGCGCCGGGGCCGGGCTGCCTGCAGGGGGCGCCCGGGCGCGCCGGAAGTCGGAAGTGCGGCGTCCCGAGAGCAGCGGAGGTCGGAAGTGCGGCGTCCCGAGAGCACCAGCGGTCGGAAGCGGAGGTCGGAAGTGCGGCGTCCCGAGAGCACCAGCGGTCGGAAGCGGAGGTCGGAAGTGCGGCGTCCCGAGAGCACCAGCAGTCAGAAGCGGGGGGCCGGTAGTGCAGAGGCCTGGGAGCGCGCCGGCGTCGGAGGGGGTTCTGCGGACGCCGGAGGTCGGGTGCGGGGCTCCTTACCACCGAGGCCGAGGAGCCGAGCGAAGCCAAGCCGGTGTGCCTGGCGGGGAACGCGGCCTTCCTGGGGCCGCCGGGCCCACAACCTCTCCTCGGTGGGGAGGGGCCGTTTCTTGAACTGCGGAAGTTTGGGTGCTGCGGGGAGGTTCCGGGGACGTTTCAGCCCATCGCTGGCGCCTCCCCGAAAGGAGTGGGCATGTGACCGGGCATTCGGGGCTCTTCGCTTTCGGGGTTCAGGCTGGGTTTCCGCCAAACACGGAGAGGCCTTGGGTGGCTCTTTCTCAGGTGCCCCCCCCCCCCC